TAAAAACGCAGCAGAAGTTTTTTTTCTCCCACTTTTGTGAGGGGAAAAAAAGGAAATAGGATCATCGGGTTGGTTTTGGTTTTAAGATAAATGCAGGTGTTTGCAGTCCAGTGCATAGATAATAGGAAACGTTGTGTATTTGGTGCTAAAAACAAACCTGTTTATCCGAGTTGTGATCCTGTACAAGTGGATGCTCTTGATGTCCAGTAGAACTGCTTGGGGCGTTGATTTTGTGCAGCTGAGGTCAACGGCAGCGTTGCCACCACGAGTAGGATCAAGCCCCCGATGCGTGTGATGACTTGGACATTAACGTTTCGTAGGTTTACAGTCTCTGATGATAGTAAATTAGCTCACGAACAGTGAAATACCTGGAGCTCTGTGTGTTGCTCTTTTCCTGGCAGCTGATCAGTTTTAGGACTAGGTTCTTCTTTGATACCACATACATATCTACATACTGCAGATGTTCGCAATCGCACACTGGTTTCACTGTTCCCCGCACAGCAGATGGCAATGATAAGTTAATTTAACTCTGAAATGCTCACACTCTAAATATATATGGAGGAAGGACTATTTTGAAGTGTACAGTAGAAAGTAAATAATTCTAGTTGTGTTGATTAATATAAGGAATGAGTCAGTTCTACAAATTAAAAAATCTGAAAGGCATATTTTGAAAAAGCATAGTATTAATTTTAATATTGTAAAAAAAAAAAGGAAAATATCTAAAATATACAGAGAACATATGTATATCCAAATGTCTGAGGAGTTTCAAGATAATCTACTTTTGTTTTCTGTTGATTTCTATTCCATGGTGTACATATTGTGAGGATTGAACATTGGCTGTTTTAATACTATTGTTAAATTGTATTTTTATTTTGTGTTAAACTAATCATCACAGTCTCAGCTTTATTTTGTTTATGTAAAGGTTGCTATGCTATGTAGGTATAAAACCAAGAATTCTATTTTAACAAAAAAGCGTTTTATATTATTTATTAAATACATGTTTCTCCAACTTCTGACATTCCACAGAATTTCTGCTCCGTATATGTATAGAAATGGCAGTTCCTTTCAAGCAGGATCAGTCAGCTTTATTCTGTTTTTCATAATAAAGTCGAAATAGTTTCCGTCAGTCTGTCCAGCTTACCCTTCTGTTACAAGCATAGTGACTTCCAGGCACTGTCAGGACCATCTTGAAGTGCGGTGGCTCGTGAATGCAGAAACACCTGAAAAACTCTTGCAAATAAAACCCTCGGTTTGATATTGCTAAATTTCCCCTTTATTCCTCGGCATTGCAGAGAGCAAGCTTTTATTCACATGAGTCTGTGGTGGGTTAACGAGAATTAATGACTTTAAACTGGGGCAAGGAATCAGCCTGATATTTGAAAAAGCTCAGACATCAGCTTAGATATTTGCAAAGCTCTTTAATTGCAAGATTAATGAGCGAGTGGAAGGGAGAGCCCAGAGAGGCTGCAGAATTTGAGTGCGTGGAGCAGGCCTGGTGCGGGTCTGCTCGGAGTGCTGCCTTATGTCGGGCTGGTTTGGGTTTAGGGCAGAGACGGGCTAACTGGCATCGATGATGGCAAAAATGTACGTACTGGAAATGATTTTTGCTGTTTCAGGGTGATTACTTGGTCCTTAAAAATAGGCTAGAGCCCGTGAAGACAGGAGAGGTGTCCTGCAGAGCCGGGTGGCCCGGGACTCTGCTCATTGCCTCTGTGCCGCAGCCGAGGAGGGGAGCAGGTACCCCCGGGACCCTGGCAGGGTCCATCCCTCCGGGGGGTGTCGGGAAGGCGAGCCTGCGCTCCCTGAGCTGAAACGGCCTCACGAGCCAGCCCCTCGCTGCGAGGAACCGCGGGGCAGGCTCGGCCAGGCGGGGAGCGGGACTCGGCCACCCTGCCGCCCTCCGCGGCATGGGCTCGCTCTGCCTGCTAGAAGTGTTTGCTGGAGTGCTGCTACCGCTGGGCGCATCTGTAGATAGCCAAACCAGGCACCTCCTTCCCGAGCAAGGTACAAAAATAGCACGAAATTCATCAGATAACTCACTTGCTAAAAATAATTCCAGTTGCAATCGTGGCCTCTGCAGTTTGAGGAATGCTCAAGGTATTAAAGCACGTGCTTTTAATTTCCACTGTGGTGGAGCTTGAAGTGCGTGCTCTTCAGGGCTTAACCGAATGACATCTCGAGGGTGAAACGTGGCTTTTGCCAGCCGTGCCGCTGAAGCTGCCTCTTCTTGTTGAGACACTGCCCAAAGCAGGGAGAGGGTGGCTGCTTTTCTCCTTGGAGTAGTTCTTGCCGTGTTTTCCATTTTCCCTTTCTCATGCCTGCCTGATTGTGTTTCCTTTCTGCGGCTGAGGAGTGAGCTGTAGTGTTGAGCTGCTCTGCCCGAGAGCACCCGGAGGGAGGGAGAGGCCAGCGGTGGGTGTGAAACTGTGCCGGTGGGATCGCGGTTTCTTGGCATCACCTGCCAAAAATGTGCCGTGATTGGGATGGTGCTGAGCCCAGTGCCGCAAACCTGACGTGTGCCCAAGCAGGGATTCGTTACGAAACCTGGGGACAGGATCACAAAGCTGGTTGTTTGTCCAGGGCCAGGATTTATCCGGGTTTGTGTAACTCGCTGTACTGCCAGACTGCAAAAGGAGACAGACCAGGTGTAGCTACAGGCTTGCCTGGATGTGGGGCTGGGCAGAGGCTTTTCCGGCTGTAGCAGGCATCTTTTCCTTAAGGAAAGGGAGAGATCAGAGAGCAGGTGAGACGGCAAATAAAAATGAGTCTGAAAAACAGAATAAAGCGAGAGCATCCTAGGAGAGGTGTTTTTATGAGCACTGCTTCAGTGACTACATTTGGTCCTTTACAAAAAAAAAAAAGGAGCAGATTCACATGAATAGCTACTAGTGATTTAAAGAAATATATTGAAAGAGAACCTGTTTTCAATGTGTAATTTAATGGTAAGAAAAGCCAGTATCTGTAAATAACTTTAGATATTGTATCTATGAGAATCATTCTTTGTTTTATGTACTTGGCTCTTTTCATATTTATTGTGCAGAGGAAGGTGTGCCCCGTGCCGGTGTATGCTGCTGCACGTTCCAGTAGTACTTCTCACAGAGACTATCTTCAGAGTTTACAGTCCTCGGCGATTTGTGACTGATGTGCCACACTTAGTTAATTCCGCCATTATTTTTTTAAAGGATTATTTTGGCACAGCTAAGCTGCTTCTGTGTGTTGGTCAGTACAACTGCTCTCATACGACGAGAACCCCAATAAAAACCGTCCTTTGTGTGTGTGCTGCCGCCTGGTTCTTTCGGTCTCGCCTGCTCCTTCCCGCGTGGCCGGCGAGGCTGTGCCGGGCTGCCTGCCGGGACAGGCAGCTGCCTGCGGGGTGCCGCTGGGCGAACCCCTGCACCCCCGTTTCCCCTGGCTGCTCTGTGCAGAGGTAAGTCCCTTCGCTTGCGGGAGCCCTGGCTGCTCTGGGCAGAGGTAAGTCCCTTTGCTTGCCGGAGAAGCCGTTGTTCATGTGCATGGTGTTTGTTCGTGCTTTTTTCCACAGGTGGCTGCTGGGGGACGTGCCGGCTGCGTCCTGCGGATGGGACGGTGCCCGCTGCGGTGAGGAGGGCCCTGGGGGTGATCCTCAGCCTGGTGTGCTGGAGCAGCACAAAAAATGGCCCTGGCAGGAACTATGAGGTGTGTTATGGGTGATGAACAGTGGCTCTCCAAAAGTGCGGGAGGGACCCCGTTGCTCAGAGCCGAGGGGTGCCCCAGCAGTGAGCCCCGCGCACAGCCAAGGCTTCCCTGAGGCTGCGGCGCTGTCGGAGACCATGCGAAGGATCATCTGAAACCGCGTGTCCTCATGCCGTTCCCGGCTGGAAATGGGGTGTGTTTTAACTGGTGTTGGTGAGACGCTTGGGGCAACCCTCAGTCTCGTGCCGGGCAAGTACAGACTAACGATCCTATTTCCTTTCTTATTAACAGAGCTTTTCCAGCTGTCGGTGCTGATGCCCTGGGCACGTCCGCGGACCTCTTCGGGGGAGATGGAGAGCGGCAGAGGGTGGGTTTCACCTTTGCGGTTGGGCTTGGCCTGATCCCGCATCCTGCACCCCTGGCTGGGTGTTGGATGCTGGTGGTGGCTGCACTGGGGCGGGTGGGACGCAGGCCCTTCTGGTCCCCGGAGGGTCCCCCTCTGCCCCGCGTGGTCACCTGATGGCCCCTCCATGTGCTTTGTCCCCAGCAGAGCTCTGCGGGGAGGTGAGGCTGGGGACGGCCGTGCCAAAAGCCCCCCAGGGCAGGCAGGCCCCCCCAGGCAGGCAGGGCTCCCCAAGCAGGCAGGGCTGCCTGCTCCCTCCCCACCTGCCCTGGCTGGGCTGCTGACCACGTTGGCGTTAGTGCCGTGGTGACTTTTTCTTTCCACCGACGGGAGGCTATATTAAGCGCTGCTCTCAGGTCCCTCACCAGCTCGGCCCCCCTATTTCGGGGCTGGAGCTGGTGGGGGGGAGCTGGGGTGCTCTGGGGAGCCCCGTGCCAGAGCTCTGACCCACAGTCCTGGGGGGACAGCCTGGGGTCCCCTCCAGCAGCGGAACGCCCTGGGGGGCTGGCTCACATCAACCCACAGCGGTTCCCCTGCTTCTGTGGGGTGCAGCCGTGCACCGAGGAGGGCACAAACACGCGTGCCGGGGAGGGTGTGTGTGCCACACGTGTGTGCTGGGCGGTGCAGGGAGGCCACGGGTTGGGAGGGCCCTGGGGGGCCAT